TTTTATCGAATAGAACTCTGTGTTACGCGCTACTTTCTTCTGGTCCTCTTTCCGCTCAATTGATCTTGAGAGTATCAGATTTTCCCAGTCTTCCTTCATCATTTTGTCTCCTAGAAATTTCCACTGCCTCTTCGTTATGTTAATTATAAGTTTCCTTTGTTTACATTTCCTCCAAAAACTCGTCGTTGCTCACATGTCCGTTCCATGGTGTTCCCAGCATCCATCTCTAGAACCTTATTTCAGTTGCTTCAAGTTTAGAAGTGAAAATGAATATCACTCACACACACACACACACACACACACGTATATATATATATATATATATATATATATATATATATATATATATATATATATATAGTAAAGAAAAATGTCTACCATGACATTATGGACCAACATTCATACCAGCTGATTATAGCAATGGGTGCAATTTTTTTTCCACTACATATACATATACATCAAGAACGTTAATCAAAGAAGGTGCAACTATTCACTCCCCTAGAGGCTAGCGTCAGCTATGATGATGGAAATCAGAGACAGATCATCCAGACGAACCTGTTCTTTATATTTGTTTTGGATTTTAAGTTGAATGCAAAATATGTGACGATGTATGCATATCTATATATGCTATATATATATATATATATATATATATATATATATATATATATGTGTGTGTGTGTGTGTGTGTGTGTGTGTGTGTGTGTGTGTGTGTGTGTGTGTGTATGTATTCAGGTTGAATCCAAGACGAACAAATATAATACAAATCGAAATATCTTTTTTTCTTTAAATGTTTTATTGATAACTGATACAAACTTGAGGATTGTGCAGTCGCAACGGTAAGGTTGAATGTTTTTGAAAATTTAACTGAGTGCGCTTTTTACTAAAATGGCAATTTGCGATTTTTTTTATTTTTTTTTGGTTTAAAAGAAGTGATCCGGCGTTTAAATTTTTAGGATAACGACTGAGATATTACTCTACTTATTGAACTATTTAGCTCATGCCACGTTCACTGATAAACTGCTAGAACAAACAATTCTCAAATTTAGATATTAGTAAAAGTCGCACACACTTAATTTTTTTCAAAAAATTCAAGCACAACATAGAGACTGCACGCTCCACAAGTTTGTATTCATTATCAATAAAACATTTAAAAAAAATAATTCGATTCGCATATATATATATATATATATATATATATATATATATATATATATATACCGATTTGTAATTGGTAAGGATTATTCCAAGCCAGATATTAATCCAAAGAGGAATCAATATCTCCAAAAGTGCACCCAGACAGACCAGCCTTAGCTGGTTTAACAGTAGATATTCTAGGCTAGGCTGTTTTATATTTATATATATATATATATATATATATATATATATATATATATATATATATATATATATATATATATATATATATATATATATATCCCTGATGTTCATGTGGCGTAAGTAGTACCCCTTTCAAAGGAAAACCTGAGAGCTGAGGTCGATACTTCACTCGAATTCGATACAGTTATTTACGCGTCAATACACTTGAGAAAGATGCTAAATACATCTACATTTTAAAAAGTTATGAAGCCATATATTCCAGGTACAGGTTAAATGAGAGGACATGTTTTGGCCGTCTTGCCATTGTTGGCAGCCATTCTTGTCGAAAAGTAGCCTCAAGGTATAAGTATAATATGAAAACTGACGATAACGAAAGCATAAATATTAGGTTGTGCCCGTCTCATTGAAATTCTTTTAACGTTTTCCTTATTACCAAACATTCACTGACCATGTAACCAGTGCTAGTTTTTGTTTAAATTTAAAAAAATATTTCACTTAAAATTATTTTCTTGAAAAAGATATTTAGCCATTACATTAATATCGCTTTTGACTGTAGTGACGGTAGTTTCCTGTCTAAACTTTTATTTGAATAGTATGGAACATCAACCTATTGCTTCCTGTGTATGCCGACAAAGTACGACAACGCATTTGATTAGGAAGTTTTGACGATCTTGCAACCACATCTTCATTACTGTTCTTCTCAGTTCGACCCTGACCCGGAGTGGTAGCACCTTTTACAGTCTCACCCATGGGCTAAACGTTAACCCTCAAAACTTGGATCGAAACACTATGGAAGTATAATACTCGTTATAGTAAAAATAACAGCAATACATTTTCTTAGTAAACAATTACCAGCAATACATTTTTATAAAAATATAATTACTTACAATAAAGAGACAATTGCAACTGCTTGTATGGAAATTAAACTTCAACATTGATTCTTTGTTTGTTTTGTTTTGTTTTACGGCATTTCACCCTCAATGGGTTATTTAGGGCTGACAGTTTAATTTTATTGCCTATTCAAAAATTAATTACTGGTAATATTTCTTAGACGCATTGCTGGTAATAATTATTCCTAAAAGTGTATTGCTTGTATTAAAACCTATTTTTCCACATTCATAATGTTTTGCGCCCAATTTGGGGATTTGACTATTTGCCC